GTTGACTTTTTTGTCCTGTGTATTGTGTTTTTGGATGTCTGTGTGTTCTAGATAGAAGTTCTTTGTGAAATATGTATTTTGTGAATATTCTGCCAGTTTGCCTTTTGATTTTCCTAATGGTGTCTTTTGATGGTCATAAAATTTTTCATTTTTATTAGTAGTTCATTCTTTTTTTCCTTAATTGTTATTCTTTGTACAAGATCACGTCATCTATAAAGAGAGAGTTTTACTTTTTGTTCTAACATAAATTTGTGTGTGCACACGTGCACGACTGTGCACGTACATGCATATAATTGCCTGGTTAAACCTCCAGTAAAATATTAAGTAGAGCTGGGTGAGGTGTCGCATGCCTGTGATCCCAGTGGTTCTGAAGGCTGAGGCAGAAGGATCATGAGTTCAAACCCAGCCTCAGCAATGGCAAGGTGCTAAGCAACTCAGTGAGATCCTGTCTCTAAATAAAATGCAAATAGGGCTAGGGATGTGGCTCAGTGGTTGAGTGCCCCTGAGTTCAATCGCTGGGATCCCCCCCCCCCCAAAAAAAAAAGTTGAGTAGAGATGATAAAAGTGGATGTCTTTGTTGTTTTTTTGATCTTGCAAGTAGTGCATTGAGTTTTTGACCATGTGTGATTATCATAGATTTTTATCAGGTTGAGGAAGTTCCATTTTTTTCATTTGTTGAAATTGTTTTTATCATGAAAGGTTTGAACAAACAACACTTTTTCTGCTTCACTATAGATGATCATGTGGATATTTTCCTTTATTCACTTACTATCATATGATATTGATTGACATTTGTGTGTGAGCATATGTGCACGTGGTAGTTAGGATTGAATCCATGAGTATTTTGCCTCTGAGCTGTATTTTGAGCTCTTTTTTTAAAAAAAAAAAATTTTTTTTATTTTGAGATAAGGTCTAAGTTGATTAGACTAGCTTCAAATTTGCAATTCTATTGCCTCAGCCTCCTGAGTTGCTGGGATTACAGATATGTGCTATAAGGCCTTTTTATTTTGAGACAGGGTCTTGCCAAGTAGCTTAGGTTGGCCTTGAATTTGTGATTCTCCTGCCTCCTAAACAGCTGAGATTATAGGTGCACAACATCATGTTTGGCTATATATTTTAAAATTTCCAAGTATTTGATACTTTCAGGTTTGCTGTTGATTTATAATTTGATTTATGATTGTGGTCAGAGAACAGTTTTTTGTTTGGTTTGTTTTTGCTGTGCTGGGGATTGAACCCCAGCCTTTGAGAATTTTTTTTTTTTTTTTTTTTTTAAATAAGAGCCTAGTCTTGATAAATTTCAAGACTCAGCATGTTGCCTATTATGGTAAGGATTCCATGTGCCATTGAAAAGTATTTTCTTAGCTGGATATAGGAGCATGTATCTGTAATTCCAGCTACTTGGGATACTGAACAGGAGGATAGCAAGTTTGCTACCAGCTTCACAAAAAGACCTGTTCTTTTGAGACCCTGTTTTTAAAAAGGGGGCTGGTGATGTAGCCCAGTGATACAGTGCCCCTGTATCCCCCACTCCTACACACACACACACACACACACACACACACACAAATGAAACTAGCCTGGGCAGTTTCAAGAGCAACTCTCAAAATTTAAAAATGGGGGTGGTTGTGTAGCTCATTCAGAGCTGTTGCCTGGCATGTGGTAGGGCTCTGGGAGAAATTCTCAGTCTTGTGTTAAAAAAAAAAAGTGGTTAGTTTTGAAAATTCCTAATGGTTTGACTGCTGTTAAACCTACTTAACCTATTTAACACTATTTACAACCTACATTCCACACTTCAGCTTCCTTTTTAAGGGTTCTTGTCTTTCATTCTGGTGAATACCTGTTCGATTTTTTAAAAATATTTTTTCAGTTGTAGGTGGACATAATTCCTTTATTTTTATTTATTTATTTATTTTTATGTGGTGCTGAGGATCGAACCCAGTTCCTCACCTGCGATAGGCAAGCACTCTACCACTGAGCCACAACCCCAGCCCCACCTGTTCAGTGTTTTTTTAAAAGGACCTTTTTCTTAAACTTGATCTTGCATTTTATAGATATAAAAGTATATTCTATACTTATTTGCTGGACTTTTTGTTTCTCTCAGGCAGAAATTATCATCTCATTCTTTTGTTTGCAATTTTAATGAAGTGAACCCCTTAAGACTGGACTCCTTTATGTCATATCTTTTTTTTTAACATTTATTTTTTAATTGGACACAATAGTTTTTTGTTGTTGTTGTTGTTGTTTATTTTTATGTGGTGCTGGGGATCAAACCCAGGGCCTTGAACTTCCTAGGCGCTCTACCGCGGAGCCACAACCCCAGCCCCTATGTCGTGTCTTTTAAGACCACTGTACATCAATATATTTATTGTTTGATAATTTTTTGTAATTTCCACCTAATGAGTCTGGGTTTGTTGAAATAGGTTTACCCTTAGGCATTTTGGAAAAGAATATTTATTTATTTGTTTAATTTTATTATTCTTTTTTTAATTGTCAATGGACCTTTATTTTGTTTATTTATATGTGATGCTGAGAATCTAACCCAGTGCCTCACACATGGTAGGCAAGTGCCCTACCACTGAACTACAACCCCGGCCCTGGAAAAGAATCTTTAGATTATAGAAGTTGATTAAAAAATTTAATTTTTTCCTATGCATTTCCTATATATCTTTATTTTGTTTTTGTGGTACTGTGGTACTGAGGATTGAACCCAGTGCCTCACTTGTGCTAGGCAAGTTCTCTACCACTGAGCCACAACTTCAGCCCTGCATTTCCTACATAAACTTCTGTACTGAATTAATTAAAGGAATTTAGATCAAATTTGTATAGTATAGACAGGTTAAGTAAATAACAGATACCTTTGACAATCCTTTTATAAATTAACATTGACCCTTTAGGAAAAGGGGCAAATAAAATAAAGATATGGCAATTTAAAGTTGAGTGTCATTTGGTTATGGAAAAACATCATTTGGAAAGATGTTTTGAGACTTTGTTAAGTCTTGAGTTTGGGGGGGGGTATCTCAGTCCTTTCTGGCTGTCATAAGAAAAATACCAACGACTGAGTGGGTGGGTGGCTGATGAAATTTATTTCTCACAGTTCTATAGACTTCGAAGTTCAAGATTACATTTCTTTCCTTTTTTGTGGGGAGGGTACTTGGGATTGAACTCAGGGTCACTCAAACACTGAGCCACATCCCCAGCCCTATTTTGTATTTTATTTAGAGAAAAGTCTTACTGAGTTTGAACTCGTGATCCTCCTGTCTCAGCCTCCCAAGCCACAGGGATTACAGGCATGCACCATCTTGCCCAGGTCTGGCACATTTCTTAATACTTAGTTTTAGTCTTCATGTTCTGTTTCACAGATTGTAATTCAAGGGTGTGTCCTTAACTGTTTTTCTAAGTGTCTTGCCAGTTTTGCCAACCATTGGTTTTCTTATCTGTAAAATGAAAGTGACCAAATAGAGAGCCTTATGTGTCCTCTTCCTTCTCCTCCTCTTCTTTCCTTTCTTTGTAAAAGGGTAGAATTTATTCAAGTAAGAAGAAGAGACAGAACTCCTGCAGGGTGAGAGGAGACCTGACCTTATAGGGATTGCCACTAATTCACTTAACTAGTCTTGGTAGGGACATGGATCAATGTCTATGCTAATCAAGTATTGGAAAAGTGTCAATGCTATTGGTTCAGCCTGAACTATTCTGTTTGTTTAGCTTGAGTCTGTAGTTTTCACTCAGGTCTGTTTAGCCTTCCTTTTCCCATTGCCCTGGGACAAAGGAGTTTGCTGGAATATTTGGGATGTTTCTACAAATTAATCTTATGGAGTGGCCTTTACATTTCGAGAAGCTATTATGGGGCCTATTTCTTTTACTATCTGTATGTCTATCCTATCCTATTCTTTCCCCGCCTCTGAAGGAGGATCCCTAATTTCCTTAAGGAAAAGGGGTGATGATTGCTGTGGCTTCTTCAAACTGAAAAGGGGAGATGAAAGAGTACAGCAGTCAGGGTCCTCCGGAGCCTAGCTAAGGTTCCCCAGTAGATGGGGATTTCATTTTGAATTCTATTTGTATGGCCATTTATAGCTTGATAGCCTCTGCTGCTGTAGTTTGGCAGCAGACCCAATTGCCTGCCAATGCCTTCTTTCCAGGTTCTTATCTTGTGAGTTTGAAGAATGAAATCGATAGATGAGAGCAAGTAAGCATAAAAGAGTGTAGCATTTATTCAAATGAGAATAAGAGAGACAGAACTCCTCCAAGGTGAGAAGAGATTTGATAGGGGTTGCCCTTTTTTTAGTGGGTAGTGGTGGTACTGGGGGGTTGAATCCAGGTATGCTCAACCATTGAGCTGTTACATCCTCAACCCTTTTTATTTTTTTTTTTTTTACTTTGAAACAGGTTCTTAACCACATTGTTCATGCTGGCCTTGAACTTGGCATCCTCCTGCCTCAGATTCCCAGGTTGCTGGTATTAGGCATTTTTGTTGTTGTGTTGGGGATTAAACCCAGGGCCTCAATCAGTGCTAGGCAAGTACTCTGCAACTGAGCCACATCCCTAGCTCATGAACATAGTTTTAAAGTATTGTTATATGTGTTAAGATTAGAATCTCAAAATGATCCATCTGCGCCTATTTATACTTGTATAATTATTGATTATTGGAATTGTGTTCATGGAATTAACTCATTCATTGAATAATGTTTTTCCCACTGCATTGTAAGTTTGGAAAGGCAAACTTTTCTCTACCTAGCTCATTACCTTATCGGTGTTTACCTAGCCCAGTGCTTCAAATGTGGTTAAGTGCTCAATAAATATTTGTAGAATAAATGAACGATTAAACAAATGGCAATCTTGGCATGAGCAGAGGTAGCATAATGATTAAATCTGCTTAGAGAACTGGACTTTTTTTTTCTTTTATTAATTTATTTTAAATCAAGAGATTTTTATTATGTAAGTTGGGCACATTTGCATATACTAGGTTTTAATTTTAATAACCTTTGTTATTATTTTTCTTATAGTTTTACATGTGGCACCCATAAAAGATGAGGCTGAGAACACGAAAAGCTTCTCAGCAGTCAAATCAAATCCAAACACAACGCACTGCCAGAGCAAAAAGGAAATATTCAGAGGTGGATGATGGGCTGCCATCAGGAGGAGAAAAACCACCGAAGAATGAAACCGGCCTATTGTCTTCTATTAAAAAATTCATTAAAGGAAGCACACCCAAGGTAATGGTTTTGCCTTATACTTACATTAAAAAGAGGTGATGTTTAGGTTGTTTCCTCTAAGCATATATAAATGAGATATTGATACTGATTGAGTCTGTTTTAAGGGAATATCTGCATTTTAGTATTATTTTACCTAGATTATCACATACAAAATATTTAATGGAAGTTGAAGATGAACATTATTTAGTCCACTGATCTAGTCACCCACTTTGCCTTCGGCATTATGGGAAACAAAAGAAAAAATTTCCTTATTCTTGAGTCTTTCTCTCTTCCCTTCTTCTTCCTTTATTTTTTATCTTTCTCTTCTGCACCTCTCAGTTGGAGATTGAATCTGGGGGTGCTCTACTACTGAGTTACATCTCCAGCCCTCATTTTTTTATGTTGAGGCAGAGTCTGGCTAAATTGGCCAGCACAGCCTTGAATTTATAATCCTCCTGCCTTAGCCTCCCCAGTAGCTGGGATTACAGGCCTATTTCACTGTGCCTGGCTTAAATTATTTCCTTTACTTCCATTGTCTTTCATTTCAGAGAATAGTAAGTTTTTTGTTAATATTATTCACTAATTAGGAAAATGATTTATCTACCTGAATTCTAACATTTGCACAATGGAAATGTAATACTTCATTGAAGACGAAATTATTTTTTTAAAAAGAATGGAAACCAACCCGAAGTCATGCTCTAGATTCATATTGTGGGCCAATTTGAGTGACCTAAGGAGAGTCATTTTTCCTTCTGGGTTTCAGGAGGATAGCAATATGGGAGTAATGGTAACTACTTTGTTTTAGCATTATTTTAGGTTAGTTGGGGTGCAGTGGCGCACACCAGTAATTCCAGTCACTCAGGAGGCTGAGGCAGGAGGATTGCAAATCCAAGGCCAGCCTCAGAAGTTTAATGAGACACTATCTCAAAATAAAAAACAAAAAAGAGGGTTTAGTGGTAGAGCATCCCTCAGTTCAATCCCCAATATCAATCAAATAAATCACTATTATTTTCAGGTTAGATTTTACAACAAGGTTGAAAAGCAGTTTGACAAACTTTTAATATATAATAAAGGTACAGTGTTATCATTCATTATATATAGATTACATGCTATTTTTGTGTTCTTTCTTGGTACAATTAAATTTGTATGATGTATGTTTTATTATGAACTGGGTGTGGATGGCACGCATCTGTAATCCCAGTGACTCTGGAGGCTGAGGCAGGAGGATTACAAATTTGAGGACAGCTGTTTATCAATGCCCTAAGCCTTAGCAAGACCCTGTCTCAAAATGAAAAATTAGAAAGGCTGGGAAGATGGTTCAGTGTTTAAACATCCCTGGGTTTAATCTCTGCCCCCCCCACACCCACTCAAAAAAAGTTTTATTGTAACGTAAGCTGCTTATTTTGAGCAATAGAAAATAAATACTGCGTTGACTTATTCATAGTGGTAGATTTTATTGTAATAGAATTAATAGAGCATAATAACTAAACCATTGGTCAAGATTTATAGTCTGTGTTTGTATAAGATTTTTATTTTTGTTTTATTGTAAAAGTTTTGTCTTTCTGAGACTTTCTTTCGTTAGTTTCAAATAACATTTAGCTTTAGGTGGCAATGCCGGAAGCTAATTAGCCCTGTTTTAGAGCGTATATTAAGTATTATGCATTACTGCACCTCCAGTTAAGTGACAGTACTAGTATTTTATTTGTTTGCTTATTTTTCAGAGTTACTTTTAATAACCAGGTCTGAACAAAACCATGCACAGCTTTCCCTAATCTTTGCCAAGCATACATGACTCTCCCAGCTCAGGGAGTCTCCCAGTTTTTCTACCACTACCACCACCAACACCTGCCCTCCACCCCTAAACTTATAATCTTATGGCTTAGGAGGATATTTATACAATTGCAATTTAATTGAGCACCTGCTGTGTACCTAGCCTTGGCAGGCAATTCACATTTGTTAGGGAGAAGGGTCAAGTGCCACCAGGCTCTAGTTAGGAACCTCCCTACTTCGCATTAACTAGTTCTACCTCCAGTTGCTGCCAGGGAAGACATTGGGGAGATCATTCAGTGACCCAGGGTTTGTTTAACAGTGTGTTAGAAGAGGATGCATAATGGAGGAGAAATGAAAGTATAGTTTTAAAAAACCCAGAACCTCGAGCTGGGGCTGTAGCTCAGCAGCAGAGCACTTGCGTGGCATGTGTGAGGCACTGGGTTCGATCCCCAGCACCACATAAAAATAAACAAATAAAATAAAGGCATTCTGTCCATCTGCAACTACAAAAAATTAAAAACAAAAACCCAGGACCTCCATTTTAGTTGCCAAGATAAGGAGATAAGAGACGTCAAAGGCAGAAGGATCCTTCCATTTTCTATAGCTTATATTTCTTAGATGGACGGGGGGCAGCAGAGCCTATCATATATAAACAAACATATAGTATATCCATTGCTTTAAAATATCATGGAGGAGCTGGGCATGGTGGGGTGTGCCTATAATCCCAGCAACTCTGTAGGCTAAGGCAGGAGGATCCCAAGTTAAAGGCCAGCCTAGGCAACTTGGAGATACCTTGTTCCAGATTAAAGAAATTAAAGCCAGGGGTGGTGGTATATACCTACAATCCCATGATTTGGGAGGCTGAGGCAGGAAGATCTTGAGTTTAAGGCCAGTCTCAGCATCTTAGTGAGATCTTTTTTCAAAGTGAAAAATAAAAAGAATTGGGATGTAGGGGGTGTAGCTCAGTGATAAAGCATCCCTGGATTCAATCCCCTGATATTAGTATTTTAAATACATATATATTTGACTCTATCCTGTACCTTTTTTCCACCATTCTGTCTGAAAGTAGCTATTGTATTTATAGTACAAAATCTAATTTATGTAAGGATAGTAAATTTCTAGTGTGAAGATTATTCTTGGTGTGTAGGTAAATAAAAGTTGGGTCTTCTTGTGCTGCCCACTTTGTCATTTATTTATATTGTTATCAGCTCAAAATTGAACCTAATTTTTTAAAAAAAAATTATTTATTTTTCTTTTTGTTTTCGGCAGACACAAAATCTTTGTATGTGGTGCTGAGGATCGAACCCGGGCCGCACGCTTGCCAGGCGAGCGCGCTACTGCTTGAGCCACATCCCCAGCCCTGAACCTAATTTTTTATAGGAAGTTTTTCATGTAGTATTTTGTACCTATATCACCATTTACTACTCCCTTAATCTTTCTCTCTAGATGATGGACTACTGCTCTTATTTCTACAAGTGTCCCTTTCAAACCCAAAGTGAGACAATTTCCTATGCTGCTACTTTTATTTTCTTGGTACCATTCCTTTTTCTTCTTCTTTTATTTTTTTGTTCATTTGTTTTTCAATACTGGGAATTAAATCCAGAGGCACTTAACCACTGAGCCACACCCCCAACCCCCTTTTATTTTTTTATTTTGAGACAGGGTCTTGTTAAATTACTTAGGACCTTGCTAAGTTGCTGAGGTTGGTCTCAAACTTGCACTACTCCTACCTCAGCCTCCTGAGTTACCGGAATTATAACCATGCACCATTCTTTTTCTTTCCTTTTGGATTTTCACAACTATGTGAGTAGACTTGAAATATAGACAAACTTCTTTGCTTTCTCTTTTGAGCTGTGTTCCTTTCTGAGATATTTTACTTTGCTTTTATGCCTCTGGTGAATCTTTTAGAAACTTGCTTACCTATGTTATTAGCCCACTTTATCTGTTGTTCTTTATTATGATTTCTAGGGTCACATAGCTATTGGTGTTCTTGGTCTTTTCCTCTTTTTATATTGTCAATTAGTTTATATCTGTATTCTAGTTCTAACTTGGCCATAAATTAGCTATGAGAGTATTCAGGTAATCTAAACAAGAGGTGTTGTTCATTTATGGATATAAGGGGTATCACATACTACATATCTTAAAGATCAGAAGTGTAGGACAAGGCATGGTGGTGCAAGCCTGTAATCCCAGCATCTCTGGAGGCTATGGCAGGAGGACCACATGTTCAAAGCCAGCCCCATCCCTAAACAAAAAATAAAAAGGGCTGGGGATGTGGCTTAGTGGTTAAGTGCCTTGGTTTCAGTCCCTTGTGCCAAACAAACAAAAAGCCAGAAGTGTATTTTTCTTTCTGGAGCAAAGATTAAGTGAAAACTTTTATTCTTACTCCTTAACCTATATATTGCTAAACATCATAGTTTTATTTGGTTTTCCTTCTTAGTACCAAAGATAAATTCAACTTATTCATATATCTATATATTTATTTATTTATTTTAGTTATAGATGGACACAAACTTTATTTTGTTTATTTTTATGTGTTGCTGAGGATTGAACCCAGTGCCTCACACATGCAAGGCAAACGCTTTACCACTGAGCCACAACCCCAGCCCCACTACTTGTTCTTGTAAGCAATTCTCTCTCTCGCTCTCTTTTTTTAAACAAATGTATTTTCCCTCTTTACCAGGAATTGAACCCAGGGGCACTTAACCACTGAGCTATATCCCCAACCCCCTTTTAAATTTTTTTTTTTTTTAATTTAGAGAAAGGGTCTTGCTGAGTTGATAAGTGCCTCACTAAGTTGCTGAGGCTGGCTTTGAACTTGGTATCCTTCTGCCTTAGCCTCCCGAGCTGCTGGGATTACAGGCATTTACCACTGAGCCCAGCAACAGGGATTTTTTTTTGAGAGAGAATTTTTTTTTAATATTTATTTTTCAGTTTTCAGTGGACACAACATCTTTATTTTATGTGGAACTGAGGATTGAACCCAGTGCCCTGCGCATGCCAGGCGAGCGCATTACCGCTTTAGCCACATCCCCAGCCCCAACAGAGGGATTTTTTAATAACTGGATTAATTTACTAATTATGGAATGAAGAAAAATAAGCTCAGGTGACTAGTTTAATAGAAGAAACAATTTTATTTTAAAATTCATTCTTCTTCTTCCCCATACACAAAATAGCCCTGAACTGTACGAAACTAGCACCCTGTTTTAGGTTTCTACTATACTTCAATAAAAAGAACTAAGGTTTCAGGC